AGAGCCGCTGAGCCCTCACAATCCCCGTTTAGTCAGTCTCTGTCTCTCTTTCTCTCTGTCTCTGTCTGTCTGTCTGTCTCTCCCCTCCATGTGATTTTTGAGATTCCTGTCTCAGCCCATTCAGTACTGGATGATGAGCCTTCTCCGCTGTGTCTGGCTCCTGATGGATCGGTAGACCGTTCTCATAGACACACTCCGTGAAGTACTTCACCGATCCCCTAGGCATCTCTCAGCGCAGCCACGCTGACGATCGAGATGAACCATCGTGGTCATGTAAGAGGGTTGGGATTTCACAGCCTCCTGCACCTGCTGCTTGAGCGTGCCATGCTGTTTGCAGTGACATTATCATCATCCAGAGGCCCTCAATACCGCTTAGAGAGAGGAGCTTGGTCAGAGCAGGCACGGCCCCCTTCATCCTCACAACACCGCATGGCATGACAGACGCACTGCTATTATCCCTGCTTTACAGATGAGGCCAACCTTAGTGGCCTAGTCCAAGGAGGCCCAGCAACACCCAGAAGCCTGGGTGTCCCCTTATTTCTTCCGGTCTCAGTCTTTCCTTGATAGAGGGCTTCCAGGCTAGAGGGGATGACCCCCTGGCAGAGTTACACCATGCCCCGTTCTGCCACCACCCCTGCAGAAAGCTCTCAAGCATCCTGGTGACTAAAGTCTCCCGTGGCTGGCACAGCCAAGGGTGGGAGATACTCCCCTTGGCAGGACGACTTGTAGAAGGACACTGAGGAGCCTAAGTTAAGTTCTGAAAGCACCAAGGTGCAAGTAACAGTGGCAGCGGCAGCAGCAACAACACAGTAAGAAGAAAAGAGAGGGAGGGAAAAAGAAAAGAAGGTTCTCTGGCAGCAAGCTTACCAACGTGAACAGAGAATGGAGTTTTCAGGACTGTCCACCAGCACTTAAGGCAGAAAAATAAAACTCTAGGTCGCTGGAGCGATGGTGCAAAAGTTAAGAGCACCTGCTGTTCTTGCAGAGTTTGGTGGTTCAGTTCTCAGTTCAGATCTTCCAGCCCACAGCTGGAAGATCACAAGCGCTCCAAAACCTTCACCAAGCCTCTCACCCGCAGGCACAGATACGCACATACACATAAATTTAGAAAACAAAACAAATATTTGGAGGGTAGAAAGGGCTAGTGAGTTCGTGGTTTACTCATTTAAAAAAGCGTAAACGTCATCCTCTTGGATATTACTAGCATGGGCGCATGCCTCTGCGAACGCCTTGCAGGCTGAGGAAGCCGAAGGGTTCACGTCAGACAGACTGGGCCACCTCCCCCCCGCCTTTTTGCTTCCATAATTTCATGGTTTGTTTGGAAATCTGCCCAACTGTGCCAGCATGTCAGCCATGGAGCACAAGGCCAGCACAGGGAGCGACTGCTCAGAAGGCAAGTTCATGGGAAACCGAGTGTGACTTCCAAACCAAGTCAGGGAAGTAACTTTTAAAGTGAAAGTGTGTGTGGAGAAACACACTGTGACGAGATGCCTTCAAATGCAAATTCTGTATGAAGTCAGGTAGCGAGTTCCTGACACACACACACACACACACACACACACACACACACACACACACACA